AAGAAAAAAAGAAAAAAACTTTGTATCTTTCGCCGCCAGGGCGCCGCCATCGTGCAGGTGACGTAACGGGGTTGGTTGGCTCAAGTTTAACAGGCTCTGGGCATTGAAAATCGCGACATCAAACTGTGTTTACACCAGTGTTTTGACCGCGAATGACTAATGTTATTAGACAAAAAGACGACGTCTCATGTTATATGTTGACAAACTACACATAGAAACATTGTTCGCGATGTCTGCCGTCAGATATTCTTGTCCCGTCAACTTTTTATCTCACAATTCAGACTTTTTTTCCTCAAAATTGCATTGTGAGAAAAAGATCTAAAAACATCTTTGCAAAAAAAAAAAACAAATATGCGAATTTTGTCGTGCAATTCTGATTATAACTTGCAATTGTGACTTTATATCTCGCAATTCTGATCTTTTTCTCACAATTATGACTTTATTTCACGCAATTCTGAGGGGAAAAAAAGTCGTTATTGTGAGAAAAAGATCAGAAGATGTGAGATATAAAGTCACAAATGCAAGTTATAATCAGAATTGTGTGACATAACTCACAATTTTGAGAAATAAAGTATTTTTTTCCTCAGAATTGGATTTTATAATAATTCGCAAATGCGAATTTATATCTCACAATTATGAGAAAAGAAGTCAGAATTGCGTGATATAAATTCACAATTGCGAGAAAAATGTCAGAATTGAGAGACAAAAAGTCGCAATTATCTTTTTTTTCTTATTATTATTCCGTGGCAGAAACAAGTTTCCATACTTTACATTTCTCGTGTTCATGAAAACAAAATCATCTCTGTGGCTTTTTGATGTTATTTACTTGAATGTTTGCAAAAGATCAGTGCCTTATGTAGCATCAATCTGTCAGATAGGTCTGTGAAGCGTATTTTGTGTACAACATTTGTATTTTTTTTTACTGTGATATGCCAAAATTTACATTAAAAATGAGGATGGAGATCCAGGTCACTTATTATTAAAACCGTTGTGTCCAAACCATGCACTAAGCATAATGTATTTTAAGGCTAAAATTAGCCAGTAAGAAGAAAATATGTATTACCTCTATTACCAATAGTTGCTAAAAGTTTCATTTGAACACGAGTGTAACCATAGACTTTTACAACTTGAACTCTGGTAAAGTTTCTCTCACTGTCCCTATCTTTCTCCGAGTGTCAGTCTGTGTCCCTTGTGTGTTCTCACTGGGCATCTGTCCCTTTAAGAGTGTGTCCTTACACGGAGCTGCTAAATCTGGCACAGGTCCGTGTGTGTAGCGTTACCAGCACTGCGCGATCTGATGCTGATTATGACACTCAGACATTAGGCCTTATTCCACCCATGTATTATCAGCTCAATCTGAATCAGCAGTGCCAGCCAAAACACACACGCCTCAGAAATGTATACATGATGATGCACACAGAAAATCCTAGCCAAAACACACTTAAACTGGTCCAGTAACTCATATCGAGCTGATTCAACATTAGCTGAAAATTTGACATGAGTTAGATTTAATGGTGCTAGATTTGACAGCATTTTACAATGATTTCTCGATAAATATATCAGAGCTATTCGCCAAGAAAAACTGTCCAGATATTGATTTTATCCATCAGGATTTGTGGACGTTTTATTCATCAAAAATGGAGCCAAATCTGAATGGTAATTTGTGAAAACAATAGCTTTTGGGCTATTCGTTTAGCATTAGCCAATTAGCCTAAAGTTACATGGCCTCGTTGACATCGAGGCCATGTGCTAGGCTAACTGGCTAATATTAACCGAATTTCTGACGCGTGTGTTTTGAGCACTCAATTGATTTAGATGTAAAACCATTAATAATTTACTTATGAAATGTGCAGTTAGACAACACTTTGCAACACTATGACTCCTAGCTAGTGATTGTAGAGCACTTGTGACCCCCCTCTTTCTTTTCTGGTGTGTAAACGCTACAAACCGATGCATCATTGTGGTTAAATCTGCAGTTTATATTAAATGCACACATACCTGTTAATTCTCCGGGTTGTTTGAGCAGTGTAGATGGATGGAGGTTTGACCGGGGCAGGGGAGATCAGGCCAGGTGGAGCCCAGGTGTGAGTGAGTTCAGTGAGGGCAAGATGCAGGGTGTGCCAGGTGTCAGCTAGAGCTCACAACGCGCAAGCGCAAGCGGAGATGCTTTCTTTTTTTTTTTTTTTTTTTTTAGCGAAGATGCTTTCACTCACAAACACACTGTTTTATGTCTTCTCCCCCCTAGTTTGAACCTTTTCCCTCTCAGGGTTGAATGAAGGGCAAAGAATGTAAAGCCTGTCTATTCTACCTCACTATCCGTTTAAATCGTTTTTTTTTTTTTTTTTTTTGCATCTTTAGAGGCATTGCTAACTTTCCAGAGTAGCTTTATGAATTCTAAAAAAAAAAATCTTGACTTTTAAAGAGACAGAAGCTTTCCAAAACCTAGTGAGCTGCCTTTATAGACAGCATTTTAAGGCATCATAATTATGAGATGAAAGACAATTATGGCATGAAAAGTTAATATTTTGGATTTAAAAAAACAGTAAAATTATGAGATGTCAATTATAAAATGTCATGACTTCTCATATTTTTTTGTATTGTTTTTACGTTTTGTCTCATAATTTCAATGGGTATTTTTATATAAACCTTGACTGACATAAATATTACGTTTATGTCACAATTATGATTTGGCATGTCATAATATCAACTTTTTATATTATAATTGTCTTTTATGTGAGGATTATGACTTCTCATAATTTTGACTGTCAGAAATATAACTGTCATAATTATGATTTGGCATCTCATAATTTCAACCTTTTATCTTATAATAGTCTTTTATGTGAGGATTATGACATCTAATTTTTTCCACTGTCATAATTAAGGCTTTTTATGTCATAATTATGATTTGGAATCTAATCATTTAAACATTTTATCTTATAATAGTATTTTATGTCATGATTATGACCTATCTCATCATTTCCACTCTCATAATTATGGCTTTTAATGCCGTAATTATGATTTAGCATTTCATAATTTCAATATTTTATCTTATAATTGTTTTTTATGTTATGATTATGACTTTTTATCTAATAATTGTCTTTTGCCATGACTATGACATCTCATAATTTGTACTTTTTATCTTATAATAGTCTTTTATCTTATGATTATGACATCTAATAGTTTCCACTGTCATACTTATGCCTTTTTATGCCATAATTATGATTTAGCATGTCATAATTTCAACTTTTTATATTATAATTATCTGTTATGTCATGATTATGACTTATCTCATAATTTCCACTGTCATAATTATGGCGTTTAATGCCATAATAATGATTTAGCATTTCATAATTTCAACATTTTATCTCATAATTGTCTTTTATGTCATGATTATTACTTTTTATCTAATAATTGTCTTTTGTCATGATTATGACATCTCATAATTTTTACTTTTTATCTTATAATTGTCTTTTATGTCATGATTATAATAATTTCGATTGCCCAGTAAGCAGTATAGGGCTAGTTTCGTGTGGAGAATATTTTACCATTATGCATTTTTAACATCTTGGTCAAAACTTACATTTTGCACACTTCAGATCTATTTTTTAACACTTGAAGCTCATCTCGGACCCTCACTTGACGAGGCAGTCCCATGTTGGGGCCCCAGACGCTCACATACCTCCCAGTTTGAGGCTACTGAGCACTTGCGAAGTGTAGACCGGCTGTGTTCGTAAAGATTTATCACTTATACAGACTCACTCCCTAAATGTTCTTCCTCTCACACTCCCTCTCTTCTTCTACCTCTCCTCTCACTTTGCCGTTAGACCTACAGCCTTCTGTTGCCCTCCCGTCTATTTGCTTTGTCTGCGTAACATTTATCAGTTCATCTCCTCCAGGCCAGGCCTCTGGTATCTGTTACACCACCTGATCTCCCTCTGCGTACACGTCCATCTGTGCTGCTATGACGACTGTCTGTAACCACTGCGACCCGTCACCCTCACACACACAAATCACTACTGTAATGTGACCACCAAACGCTACACGCTTAGAAAGACTGATCCATATATACAGACACACACAGACAGCATTTTGAACCCATTGCGAACACAGATTTTAGAGGAAGCATTAGCATGCACAATCACATTACCAGGAACAGCAGATAAAGACAATATTGGCTGCATTTGATTAATACACTACAGTATATTTGCATCACACAGCTAAAGCTACATTGAGAATATCCAAGATGGTCGCCAAATATGGCTTGGGATTTTGATTTTGATTTGTTTTATGACTTTCCTTAAAAACCTGTATCACAATTCAGACTTTAACGTCACATCGTATCTTATTTCTAAGCAAGTAGGGATGGTTTCAGGGTGGTTAACTAGTCATCCAACAACCAACCAGTCAATTGGTTTGGTTAAAGTGTAGAGTTAAAGGAGTAGTTCACTTTTAAAAAAAACTTTTTCTGATAATTTACTCACCCCCATGTCATCCAACATGTCCATGTCTTTCTTTCTTCAGTCGAAAAGAAATTATGGTTTTTGATGAAAACATTCCAGGATTTTCTCCATATAATAGACTTCATTGGGAACCAAACGTGTTTCAGTGCGACGACACCAGACGATGACATCATGACTCGAAAAAAGATTTGTTCATTTTGATGAACGAGTTCGAAAAGGAGAGTCATGAACGCGCATCACAGAACAGAGCAAGGCGAGCGTTTGTGCTTATAAAACTTAAACTTTTTATTTATTTTCTAAATGACCAATCGTTTCGCTAGATAAGACCCTTATTCATCGTCTGGTGTCGTTTAAAGCCCTTTGAAGCTGGACTTTGTTCACCACTAGGCAAGTAACGTGCGCTAACAAAGTAAATAGGGTTCATTTTGATTTCACGCCGACTTTACGAAACCATGGCCATAGCCGTCTCTAAATGAATAGTCTGCCATTTGGCTGGTTTTCACAAAATGCTATAAAAAAAAAAAAACATTAAACCAATGATAAATTTAACACTTTTTATATTTATATTAAAATAGCATTATTACATTAACAATAATTTCCATCAAAACAAATAACAATTAATTACTCTTTTATACCTTTTATAAATAAGTTACGTAAAAAGCCAGAAGAGAAATGCATCATTTACAAACAGTTATTTTATAGCTTTACAAGATTCCAGAAGCAGTTGAATGCACAGACGAACATTTGGGAACAGCAGGCATAAAATGACAGAGCACTCATACCGCCCCCTACAGGATAGGAGCATTTCACTGTTACCTCATTACGGCTAAACACAATCTTCTTGTTTTCATATAAATATTGAATTAGGAACTATTTGACCGTGCATCTACTACCAACATGCGAACATTTAGTGCTTTCAGCACTTAATATTTGATAATCTCCAGTGTACGATATTCCAGTGTTTTGCACTAATTAAATATTGTGCACGATTACTGAGAGATCCTTACAAGAAAGTACTGAGGCGGTACCATGGTATCAGATTGATTACCATATTCATATACCATGGTATATACATGGTACTCCAAAGTACTTCAATGAATACCATCATATTACCATGGTACATGTTCAAAAAACTGCTTTGTAAGTGCTTTTACTCCTCAATTTCATATCTAGCCAGCTGATATTTTGCCATTTAATAAACCTGGAGTGTTTAAGTAGCTTGAAAAATGTACAGATTATACGTTTTGAGATGAATTCGTAAAAGTTATTTGTATTTTATACTTTTCTGGAAGTCCTGAGCTTCATTTCCCCAGTTGTTTCGCTCTTTGAGAGTCCAAATTCAAAGTCATTTCATATATTCCAGTTTCAACTTCTTCCATTTGCTATTCCAGCAGTTCCTCCAGTGGATAAATAGTCCAGTTGTCTTCAGACCCAACCACCAGTGGGTCTACATCATTTATTGGCAATTGAAGGCTACTTTGACTTTCCCCAAGTAGCTAATCACTGATTTGAGCCAGATCCTTGGCCAACCAGTGGTTCAAGTCAATATTGCACCGCATTTGGCAGTTGTTGAGCTGAATGAAGTGTAATTGTGCCGTGTTTTAAATACAGTCTCGCTACTTGGCAGGCTGTGTTTGTGTCTGTTTGGAATCCCTTTTAAGTCCATGCTTACAGGATATCCTGAGTACGGCCAGCTCCCGTAGTGCGAAGATCGCAGGACTGGTGACCTCCTACGACTGCAATGGCTGATGGGAAATGTAGTTCATGGGATCTTATTTGGCAAAGATCAAAGACATTTCCAGTTATTATAAAAAGATTTCCAGTGTGTCTCTGCTATATCCTGTGTGTCTCCACCCTGACTCTCAGCTTTGTGGTTGCTCCTGGGACTTTGGCAGCAATTCAGAGTCTTTGGTCTGCTTCAGGACATGACCCTGTTAGAGATGGAGATTAATTAGATTTAAATTGTAAAAGTTTGGTGAAAGCTGCAGTGTGTCATTTCCGCACCACTAAGGTTATCAATCTGAATTGCAATCTATTGAGTGTTCTCATCCAACGAGGTCTATATTTATTATTTTTGTAATTCTCTCTGGTGACTCTAGTTATGCAGAAATGACACAATTCAGGCATGTTCCAATAACCATAATATAATATTAGCATTACATTATCATCGCTCTCATGGAGGCCTTGCTCATCCTCTTCCGATGTTTCCGCCGTCGCTTCCGCGGGGGCTGGAGAGGGGGCGGAGTCTGTGGGGCTGAGGGGGTGGTGGGAGGAGCGCTCGGCACTATGGGATAATGAAGAAAACAGAAGACAAATGGAATGCGTTAGGAGGGTTTTCGGATCAGCGATGAAACATTAACCTCACGGTAGCCATCATAATATCAGGATCACATTACTTTGTTGACCCCTGACTTTATATGCTACCTCTGACGTTAAATAAATGGAAAGAATAACAGGAAGCAAGTTACTAATCACAACACGTGTACACACACACGGACTCGATAGACAATCAAGACACTGACCTGTTTTTTGTGTGCTAGTCTGTTGATGGCTGACTGCTTGCGTTGTATGTTGGTGAAGCTGATGGTGTCGGTGGTTTTGGTGACGAAGATGATGTTGTGTTTCTGGCTGCTGCTCCCTTTCCTGGATATTTGGATTATTTGCTTCTGATTGGTGGTGGTGATGTTTTCTAACTTCTGATTGGTCAGAGTGATGACTTAGCACTTCAGATAAGCCACTGGATTGGCCGATCACCTCAACGTGGCTGTAAGTGCTAAAAGTGTCTAATTGGCTACTGTGTGGCATGCTGTGCCCTGATTGGACGGGATTGTGGGAAGCATTGTATTTTGGTTGCTGTGGTGTCGTTTTATCCTGTGGTTGCCGTGGTTCTGCCTGTTGATCCTCTTGCAGATGTTTGTCGTAATGCTGTTGCGTCTTTTTCGCCATGCTGTCGCCACTGTGTTCAGATTTCACCTCCTCAGTTTGTGTAGCGTCACTCATCATGTGTGGATCTCCTAATGTGGTTTGTCTGGTGGGAACATCTCCTCCGCTCACATGAACTGCTGTGTGTGTGAGTGTATGACGGTATGGGCTTTGTCGGTAGCCCTGTGTGTGTGTGACGGTGTTTTTGGACTGCCATTGTAGTTCCTGACTCTCTTTATCCTCCAAATGGAGCCTTTGATTATGTTTAAGTTCGTCATGGCGATGTAGTTCCTCTTTTGATTGGGTCTTTGGTAGCGTTACTTTAGGGTGGAGTCTGGGCGGAGGAAGAGGTGTGGTCAGGAGCCGTGGGCTGAGCGCCAAAACGCGTGATTGACAGCTACAAGTCAAATGGTCCTCCACGGGTATGACAACCTTCTCATAGACTGGTTGTCGGTTGATATACTGGATTTTCGTCATCTAGACAAACAAAAAGAGATATCAAAATAATGCTAACCATTAATTTCTGAACACAAGAATACTGTTCCATTTCTAATTTCATTGAACAATTTTTATGTTAGCATGTTGCTAAGCTAACAATGTGAAATACTAATTCGCATAAAAAAATAAACAATATAAATTTGGGGTAAAATAGTCCGTTTCTAATTAGACTCCACTATTTTCATGTTAGCATGTTGCTAAGCTAAAAATGTACAATAATTACAGTGTTAGGGAGTAGCTAACTACAAGTAGCGACGCTAACTAACATTTCCAGTAGCTTGTCAGTAGCTCAGTGGCTTTTAAAACAGTGTAGCTTTTCCAGTGGAAATGTTTACAGCAAGTGGTTTATCATGACCAAAAGCTACACTTCGTTTTGCACAATGGATTGAAGCAGCACAACGTCATCTTCTTATTTAATTACAAACTAAAATTGTTTAACTGATATCCATTGTTTCATCGCGCATCTTACAGTTATTGAGAAAAGATCGTCTGATGTAAAGGAAGTAAAGGAATGGGTTGACATAAATCAACTAGCAAAGGTTTGTATGTAAAGGTTAGTAAAAGTCATTTTTGCAAATGATAGATTAAAACATTTGCGTCAAAGACTTAAATCACATACAGTTGAATAATAGCCTTTGTAAATTGATTAATTATCCTGCTTTACTGCACTCTGCATCAAATGTCTATTTCTGATTTTACGATGACCCGCCATAGTTTAATCCGTCTCAGCACAGCTTTAGCAAAGCATCTGTCGCTCATCTGTCAATCTGGCATCTGTCCGTGCTTATGACACGGCATAAAAACACATATTCTGCATTAAATAGCATATTTCTAATTAGACTTAACTATTTTAATCTTAACAAGCTAAAAATATAATACACTAATGAGCATAAAAATACACAGTACACATAAATATTGGGTAAAATAGTGTATATGTAATTAGATTTAACCATTTTGATGTTAGCATGATGCTAACAGAGTGACACAAATAAGTATATAAATGGAGTACACACAAATACTGGGTAAGATACTACATTGGTAACTAGTTTTTTTATTGACATTTTAAAGTATTGAATGAAACATTAGTACATTTTTAGTTAGTTTTAGTTTAGTTTTAGTTAGTTTAGTGTAGATTTACATTCAAGCTATTTTAAAGCATTACAAAAAAAAAAAAAAAAAACTTTTAAATATGTAATTTTGTCCTACGGAGGACAAGGAGGATCTTGTTGGATGATTTTTTTTTTCACAGATCCTGGTTTTGAATTTTGCCAAAAGAAAGGCCTTATATATTTTAGAATACTTTGCTGTTGTTCAGAAAGGGCTAAAAAGTCATTACACCTGCAAATGTTGTAAACTTGCAAATGAATACCTGTAATTGTCGTGTTTCAATGGTGACTGGCATGCATTGTACAGTGCGTGTGTTACAGCAGCCTGAACAGCGCTGCACTTCCACACACGGAGGCCATAACAGGAAGTTGGCGTTCCGTCGGTCCAGCATCGCGCGGGTCACTTCCATAACTTCTGTTCTCACCTTGCACATGGCCTGCTGGGCCACCTGAACATCTGTGAGAGAGATAATGGAGACAGTGGTTGATTTAACGTTTATACCCTCTATCATTCCCACATTGCAGAAGCCAGCCAGGATGGAAGTTAGACGAACAAGACTACAGACGCACACTATAATTCATCCTCTCAGCTCTGTCAGAGTGTGTTTGTGTATACAGACTCAAGGCGCACTTGACTGAAAGCGAGCACTCAGAGTCAGAGAGAGGAATAGATAGAGTACATGTGCGAAAGAAGCGTGGGTGGTAAAATTGAGCTTTGAAACTTGTATGTGTGTGTTTGAGGGTGACCTAAGGACATGTGGCGAGACAGGACGAGACAGAATCAATCATAGAGACGCAACAGCAGACTCCAGGCTCATAGACGCACATCTCACACACTCGCACAAACACACAACAAAGCCACAACACCATTGTGGAATGGAGATGCCACAGTGTCTGAAAATAATCGCCACAGACTGGAAATATATTGAAATTCTGCAAGAGGACAAAGATGAGGAGACGGGAGTGTGGAAAAGAGACAAAGAGAGGAAGGGAGGGAATGCCAGAAGACTTACTAAGGCTTCTGGGAAGACGTTTGTGTGTTCCGTTAGAGTGCATCTCACTCTCGGGTATCTCATCGTCCTCTTCTGAAAATGAAAGACAAAACGAAGGAGGGATTAAAAAATATGAAACATCGTTCAGCAATTTGGGTAGATCTATTATTTTTCTCGATGTGATCAGGTCTTTCGTCTAGTCTAGGATTGTAAAGATCTAGATATTTTCCAAATATTACTTGTATATGGTTTATTTTCTCATTTTTTCTTCTTATTTTCTTGTACTTTTGAATTTCAGTATTGAATTACAGTATTTTTGTACTGGGAGACTTATAAGGAGGACATATATTTTCACCCATTAGAAAGATACTTTAGTTATGTAGTGTAAAAATACACCCACTCAGACAGTAGTGAAACGACCAATCACAGTCCGCTTTTTTTTCATATTACACTATATATACGCTGTTTGCTGCAATGTGAACCTGTACATATGACTACATTTCAGTTGTGCAACTGTGTTTTGTCTCTGCATGTTTCATCCTAAAGACCTGGAGTTGCCATTTGAATCCTTTTGATTCCACTGTCCTGACATCTTGCCGTAAATCTGATCAAGGCCTGTCAATGAGAGACTGGTATTATAGTCCTCGTAGTAAGGGTCAAAACATTGTTAAAGCTGGCTAAAATGCACGCACACATACAGATTCTGCTATTGGGGAACAATAGTGTAGCCTTGTGTTTGTGTCCCTTCTGTAAACTTAGAGCTGGACTGGGCTCAAGGTCACTGCTATTGTGCCTGTGAGGGGCTATACACGGCCCATTCATGTAAATATTACCATTATCCACACACACACATTCCAGACCCCTCAATCTTTCCTGCCTCACCTTCCTTCTTCAGCACAACCCAGAAAACACACACATTCCACAAATGACGAGACGTTTACTTGTTTGAAGTAGTTCTGATATGGGGTTTTCAATGACTTATGATTGAGAGTAAGACAGCCAATGCACGATAAAAAGCCAATATGCAAAAGAATTATGCAACCAAATATACTATAAAGTAAATGGCAAAATTTGTGTACACTAAAAAAAATGTGTAATGTGTATACATTTTGTTTATATAATCTTTGCTTTTCAAATATTTCATGGTGATTCTGGAAACCTTTTAATCAGATGTTGTATTATCTAATCTATATACAGTATATATGAAGAGTTCAGATGCAAAAGCCTCTAAGTGCCATTTTAAATTTTCTTCTAAAATGATCATTTTTTATCAAGCTTGTATATTTAAGTTCAGTAATTTCACTTAAATGACAATTAATAGGTAATTATCATTGCCATTTAAGTGAAATTACTGAACTTAAATATACAAGCTTGATAAAAATGATCATTTTAGAAGAAAATTTAAAATGGCACTTAGAGGCTTTTGCATCTGAACTCTTCATATATATATATATATGTGAATATGGCAATATGTGAATATGGCAATATCCAAAATCCTTGTCCTTGTGGGGCTTCCAAAATGTAGGGTTAGTATAAGGGGACAGAATATACAGTTTGTACAGTATAAAAATCATTGTCTATGGAAAGTCCTACATAAAACATTGTATGGTATCTGTTAAAGGTACGGGATCAGCTTTACCTACGGATTCTACGTCTAGAAGTCTCTTCAGATCATCTACGGATGAGATCGGGCTGTTCATCACTAAATCCACCAGAGATGGAGGAAGAGGGTCACCCTTATGAAGAAAGAGAGAGAGAGAGAGAAATGGTCAAACAGGTTTCTAAACAGACACTAACCTGTCTGGGTCTGAATTTCAATAACACACACACATATTTATAGCCAGACGTATTGAGTGCAATAACAATCACCTGGCTGAGCACAGACATACGGCACATGCTGCAGAGTTACAGAGAGCATGTGTGGACAGTCGCTGTCCTTTATTAAGCTGCATTACTCATAATCAGGTCAGTGCGTGTGATGTGGTCAGTGTCATGTGGCCGAAAAACAATGGGAAAATAAATACATAAATAAAACATTGCCATAACCAACCATCCATTTTTCACCTCCACACAGAGTTCCTTATATATACACTCACCTAAAGGATTATTAGGAACACCATACTAATACTGTGTTTGACCTCCTTTCACCTTCAGAATTGCCCTAATTCTACGTGGCATTGATTCAACAAGGTGCTGAAAGCATTCTTTAGAAATGTCGGCCCATATTGATAGGATAGCATCTTGCAGTTGATGGAGATTTGTGGGATGCACATCCAGGGCACGAAGCTCCCGTTCCACCACATCCCAAAGATGCTCTATTGGGTTGAGATCTGGTGACTGTGGGGGCCATTTTAGTACAGTGAACTCATTGTCATGTTCAAAAAACCAATCTGAAAATGATTCGAGCTTTGTGACATGGTGCATTATCCTGCTGGAAGTAGCCACCAGAGGATGAGGACATGGTGGCCATAAAGGGATGGACATGGTCAGAAACAATGCTCAGGTTGGCCGTGGCATTTAAACGATGCCCAATTGGCACTAAGGGGCCTAAAGTGTGCCAAGAAAACATCCCGCACACCATTACACCACCACCACCAGCCTGCACAGTGGTAACAAGGCATGATGGATCCATGTTCTCAATCTGTTTACGCCAAATTCCAAATTCATAACTATAATTCATTCAAATAAACGTAATCTGCCACACTGCTTTATCTCTGTGTCTGATTCAAAGCGGGCAGAATATTCTAGATCTAACTGACGGAAATACCCTTCTGGTCAGCACTGCAAACATCAATAGCAGCTTTATGTTACGGTATGATGTCACTACCATGAATATATGAAGAGTTCAGATGCAAAAGCCTCTAAATGCCATTTGAAATTTTCTTCTTTAATGATGATTTTTTATCAAACTTGTATATTCAAGTTCAGTAATTTCACTTAAATAACAATTAATAGGTAATTATCATTGCCATTTAAGTGAAATTACTGAACTTAAATATACAAGCTTGATAAAAATCATCATTAAAGAAGAAAATTTCAAATGGCATTTAGAGGCTTTTGCATCTGAACTCTTCATATGCAAATGTCACAATACAGTCTTACAATAATTCGTAACTATTTTGATATTCCGAGAGGTAGGTTCATAAATTGAACTTCAAACTTTGTACGCAGTTGCACACTTGCAAAACAGCTACGTTTTCTTGTGCAATCAGGTTGGAAAGTGAATGCTTGTATCTATGCCAGACAGATGTTTAAAATGAGTGTGAAATGTATTGTAATCTATTCATTAACTCACTTATGTGATGCATTCTCAATGTGGCCACAAGGGGCACTATTACTAGACCTTCTGTAGCCCCACCCCCTTTCTGTCTTTCCAAAGCATGGGAGGATCTTACAGATTTATGAATGAACCGTTTTTAAAATCTGCCATTTTGTTCCACTTCAAATGTTACAATGCTCATGATTACTTCCGTTAACCACTTCCGTAAATCCACTTCACTAGCTAATTACTCTTTGACAGTGATGCCGTATAAATATACAGAGCTACTGCAAAAACTGAAGTTCAAACATAATATTCTAAAGATGGCTGTCCGTTTGTTTCTCTAGTGCATAGTTATTCATCTACACTCAGTTATGTTTTTCAAGACAAATATAGTAATGGTGGAGTAACTGTTTGAAGAGAATATCACTGAACAAGCAATCATAACAACATGATTTACATATATATAACCCCTCAGGTCCAACTCGTCCAGCTCTGTGTGGGCCTTGAACATGGTTTTCCAGCATGGGAGGCAGGTGCTCTAACAAGGATCTTTAGTCTCTAATGTCAGTCTACTCTTACTAGCTGGCCTCCATTACATATAGAAGCCTTAAAGGTACAGTACCAATAACCTTATTCATTTAAGAATCGGGGTACAAAAACATGGAAAAACTAAATTATGACTGTATCTGGTGCAAAACTCCCCCTAAAGGCCCGTTCACACCAAGAACAATGACTAAAAAGTTAAATGTAACAATAAAAAGTGTCCAAATCCACAATAACATTCCATTTATTGTAAACGCACAGCAGTTGTATTGTCCTGCCACTTTAAATGCTCAAGCTCTTTAGAGTCAGCTAGATTCTGATTGGCTGTCAATATTTTTCAGCTGACAAAAATATGAAGTGATTACAACGATATCGTTGTTCTCTGTCACTAGCGTTATAATTGTGGTGTGAACTCTGCGAATCTAATTCTTAAAGCAGTGTTTCACCCACTGCCAAGTGCATGTGTGTGTAGTGCTGTCACATCTACTGATCCCATTAGGATGACATCACTCCCATTTGCCACATGCCATAATGAATCATGGGATAAAGGAATGTCAATCGTTCATCCAGGGGAAAAGTTGAGGAGGAATGGGGTATAATTATCGACCTGGATTGCTATACACACACACACACACACAATGAAACTTTATAGGCCGGCCACATGGCAGTCAGCCATTACAGAGTTCAGACATAAAGAAATACTGTATCCATGGAGTGTCACCCACACCTGCACATACACATAGGTCGAGTAAACAAATGTATTGAAAGAAGGATGAAAAGAGCTGGATTTTATTAAAAAAAAAAGTCTGAGCAAGCTTCAATAATCGTGCTTACATTGAGAGAACTAGATTAAGTATTATATGAAAGGATAAGCACAAGCACAATAAGGTCGATCCATCTTCCCATTTTCCAAAACTGAGTCATTAATTCAATGCAGATCTAAGCACGCACTTCTCAGGTGTTCGGCTCGGCTTTCATTCGCTCGAATCCTGAGTCATGTCTGCAAAAGCAATTTCGATTTTTTTTTTAATCCCTCAGGCCATGACACATGTCTAATGAGAGCAACTCAAAGCCCAATCATCTTATGCGATTCCATCCACACGTCTGTACCGTGCCGCCTAGATTATTCCTCTCTTATATAACTTAAACACAAGACTTATGATGCATCAGCTGGAGGACCAAAATCCCATCAGCTGTGACCTTTTAAACTCCGAATCGAGTGCTCCGTTTTAGAGGGTAGGCCTAACATAAGGTTTATGGGTTTTTTGTAGGTTTGGCGATGATGCAATGGTGATATTCAAGAGACGGATTACAGAAACATCACAAGGAGATTTAGGTCTTATAGTGTGTGTGTGTGTGTGTGTGTGGATCTCGATTGATGTGCATGTCAAAAAGACCTTTTCATAAAGGTCAGGACACATATGTGAGAATATCTGCAACCCAAATCAAGATACATTAATGATTCTGCTGAATCTGTTTTGAAAACGGATGGTTTTTAACTTTTCCCCCGCCATTAACGAATTTTTTCGTCTATGACGGAACGCTTCTCCGCCATGGAATGAATTTTCATTGTTAAGCAATGTGTCCACTAAAGCGTTTTTTAGCCAGTTGACAACACTGGCGCAGGTTTTTTTTTCAGTTGAGACACTATTTGTGTTATGATGCGGAATATCCGCGGAACTGTTACTGATTTTGAAAATAGTTTGTTTCTAAATTTATAACATTTTGACAAAATGTGACGTATTTGCTCAAGTACAAGTTTTGGTTGAAGAGATGTGCTTGTTGTCATTTGTTGTACAAGCAAGATGTGGCAATTGGTCAGGGTTGTTTTTGCCCCGCCCCTCCTCCACTGTGATTGGACGGATGAGTAAAAAGTGACGAGTAGAGCCAGACCGATATATCGGCAGGCCGATATTATCGGCCGATATTAGGCATTTTCCAAACTATCGGTATCGGCAGTTATAATGGCCGATAAATTAATATTTCAAAAATAAAATAAAAACGGACGAAACACGCTTGAACCATGTCATGAGTGTTGGAGTTGTATAGTTTGTCCACCAGAGGGCACTCTACACCGTCCCTGTTGGCAACACTCGTTGAGTTGGTCACGATACATATATTGCTTGAACAACAATTAAAAGAACATCCCCATCAGTTCTCTTAAAGGGTTAGTTCACCCAAAAATGAAAATTAAGTCATTAATTACTCACCCCCATGCTGTACCAACCCCGTAAGACCTTCGTTCGTCTTCGGAACACAAATGAAGATATTTTTGATTAAATTTGAGAGCTGTATAACTACCACATTGGCTCCTAAGGGACTGCCTCTTGACGGCCCAAAAAGTCAATGAAGAAAATGTTTACATGTCCAGTTTTGCTGCAGTTAAATAAGCCAAGAGTGTTATATTGAAAATGTATATTTTACAATTTGCAGTATGACATTATCCATTGCTAAATGCTACAAAGCTAACCACAAAGCTAGCTAATGCCACTATCATCAGTCTGTTCTGTTGTGACAATAAATGAAACAAGTTTCTTTTTGAAAATGCATTATCATATTATTTTAGTTTAAACTCATAAATAACTACAAATAACTAATGTTAGGGAAATCTGTTAAGGTTGTGTTGCGCATTTCTGAAAAAAATAAATAATATATCGGCCGATATATCGGAATATCGGATTTTAAAACCAACAAATATTTGTATCGTATCGGCCTTCAAAATCCTTTATCGGTCGGGCTCTAGTGACGAGTGCTGTTATACCCAAAGTTGAACATTCTTCAACTCTCAGCAACTGGTAAAAAAAAAACAGCCTTGTCACGCTGCTGGCGTTTTAAAAATGTGGCGCTTCCATTGAAAACAATTGGAAAAATATACCTAACCTCTGGAAAAAAAAACTTCATGGTGGACACACAGCCTTAGGCTCTGAGCGTTTATTCCATACTGAACTCTACGAGCTCAGTGTTTTTTACTGGTTGACGAGAGGTGAAGAATGCTCAACTTTGGGTAAAACAGCGCTCATTGCAGTCACTTTTTACTCAGCCGTCCAATCACAGTGCAGGAAGGGAGGGACAAATACCCTACTAACCAATCATCACATTCTGCTTGTACAAACGACTACAAACGACAACAATCTCATTCTCTTCACCCAAAACGAGTGCCAGAGCAAATATAGCCGTGTTTCCACTGCAGGAACTTTCCCCAGGAACTAGGAACTTTGGGGTGGTACTCGGCGTGTTTACACCGCAGGAACCAGGGTCTAAATGTTCCGGGTAAAAATGTAGGGTAGTACTTTTTTCAGAGTTCGGGAACTTTCGGGGTGGGACTTTTGCGCTGAACATGCTAATTGGTTAGCATTACGCGCATTGTGAATACGCTTTGGGTGCTCGTCTCTTTTCTTGCCATTTTGTTAATTACCTCGTTAGTAAACCAATGGCGCACAAAAGCAGCACAGCTTGAATCTCTTCCATACAAAACTCAAAACGCGCTCAAAACTCAAAACAAATGCGCAGAGTGGGTTGGAACAGTCGTACGCAGTTCAACGCCACTACATTTTCCCGCCCCGGACTTTAGTCCGTGGTGTAAACACAGTAAGCAAGCAGTCTGGGGCAAAAAAATGAAAAATGAAAAAAGTTCCTGGGACAAATAGTTCCTGGTAATTGCGGTGGAAACGCGGCTATAAGCATTGTGTTGACATTTTTACATTCAGTAACAATCTATTTGCGAAATCAGATAACAGTTCTGTGTATATTCTGTATCATTACATAAGGCGTTTCAACTGAGATGCAACTGAACTCAACCTTCTCAAATGCCCACAGAAAGATGTTTTCAGCAGAGCACTAGCTAGCTTTGATGGACACATGGCCTTATACAGTAGGAGGCGCTATGACATCTGAACGAGTGCAGAATCTTTGGATAAAGACAGACGAAAAAGAGGCAGAGACAAGCAATAGAAGCAGCATTTGCACATGTAAAATAACGTGATTAAACAGCATATAAATCAAAACTGCCTAATGTTACTGAATGAAATGTTGACCCAGGAAAATGTGTAGGACTGCGAAGTTGAGGGTGTTGATGGACTCAATCTACTCCATCTATGTTTTTAATCATTGTTCTCAATATGATCCGGGAACAGTTTTTGACAAAATACGATTTTCTCAGCTTTTTGTTCAAAATGTTGCTTTTTTTTGTTAAACTTACCCACATTCAAGTGTTGATACATTTTATTTTATTTTTTTAAGTATGCATAAGGCTAGAATAAAAGCTAAAGCTTGTTCCAGTCTGGATATTACATCTCAAAATTGTGAAGATCGCTATTCATATTAGGGATCGTGATTGTTTGTTATATAAGATTGAAATTTTGAGAAGATCGCCCACCTCTAATTTAAATACAGAAAATGTGCACTATCATTGATGGAGCAGCCCAATATCAACTGATATATAGCCTACTGTTTTATTTTTTATTGTTAACAGGATTCCCACACTAATTTATGTCTAGACTTGGACTACTAAATAAGCTTTTTTTTTAATTTAGACTGACTCACTGACGAATAATTTATAGAGATTTGAGAATGATTATCAGATGATTAAAAAATAATTTTCGTTAAAACTTTAATCAGACCATACTATGACTTCTGATTAAGTTGTCGAAAATTAGTCTGGACAATACAATTTCAAGTTCCACTCATAAACATAAAGTTTCTTTATTGCCATTTATGGTTCCATCAAGAACTTTTAACATCCATGGAATGTTCACATCACTGAAAGGTTCTTTGAGGAACCAAAACCCCCATTATTCTATGGCTTTCCTGAAAGGGAAAAAACCGTCTATGACCTTTATTTTTGATAGTGTGCAGAGGACCTTCTATAGGAACTCACAGGACTATTTTAATATGGCTAAATGCATACTGTAGTGTTAAACTTAAATGGACAACATAATTGGGGTTTAAGCCGTGACAGTGATGCACTTGGACAGAGTGATGGTTTTGGCAGTGGATCATCTGGGAATCCATCCAATACACATTAATGCTGGCAACACGAACTGTGGATTTGTTTGAGTTTAGAATTGCAGACATAAACAAATACAGATAGATTAAGCATCAAATCTAGCAGGGTTTCTCTGTTATCGGGGTCCTGAAGGGTGGGGGCCCTGCACTTTGCGGCCAAAATACGCAGTCAGGCGTGCTTATGAGGGCATTTGTTACAGTTTGCTTAAATTTCATCCTCGAAATCAAGACAGTTAAAAGTGATCTGTGAATGCAGCTATTGTTAAATGAGACATAGAAATTAAACTCCAGCTGAGACAGAGAAACCGAGCGTGACGTCAATCAGGTGAAGCTTACCTGCGCGCGACCAGACCGCAGGCACGCCGCGAGCGCCGCGAGCACCAGCAGCAGAAGCCGCGAGCTCATCATGCGCGCACATCCAACTGTCTCTCTCTCTGTGTCAAACACACACACACACACACACAGAGCCGCTCTCAGCTGCAGGAAAGTTTATTCCAGAGGGGTTGAGTCACTTTGAGCACCGCGCCAGCTGATCCCTTTTGACATTTAACGCCGTATGCGAAATCTCCAGAGTCAGAAATCACATAGCTATTAATGATATACTTGAAAGAAAGGAGAAAAAAAACCCACAAAATCTCCACTTCAGTTTAAAATATCAGCTTTAAATATGTCCAGATATGTCCAAAATATGTCCAGTGTGTTGACTCCAGAAAATAGCCCATGCGTAACTATTCCAGCGCTGCAAGTCTGCACCTTTCCCTAGTCAGTATGGCAGCGGTTGTGCGCGTGCGAGAGCGTGTTTCTCAGGTGCTTTAATGCCGCGCTGTGCACTTCGCTCTGGCTTCAGCCTTAAACAACAAACCCCGCCCCCTGCGCTCTGATTGGCTCTCGGTCCGCTCGAGGCTGGACGATGCTTCCATATAAGGCAAGTGATTAGGAACGATTCTGCGGGGATGAGGGTGGCTCTTCATACATGACCTGACATTCTCAAAGTGTGACTTTTATTTGAAGAAAGGCAACAGTTTTCCCACAGCCACCTGTTCTGTCTTGTTTCACTGGAGGTTATGGCAAATAGTTGTGAACTGGGAAGTCACACTGCATTGGACAATCCAAACTGATGATGGTGGTAACATATAAATGCCTGAATCTCATGGAACCGGTCAAGAATGTGTCTGGGTTATATTTCACTCCAAAAAAAACCTAAAATGTTTATAATAATGTATTTTTCTTAAAGAAAATTAATCTTATTTGAGGACCGTTACGATTTTTTTTTTTTTGTATTCTACATCTGTGACATTGTTTTCATAACAATAAAGCATGTTTCCTTCCCAAATTCTCATTAATCTGAAAATGTCTGACACACACACACAAAGTGATATTTTATTTCATTTGTAAAAATTTGAAGAGTTCAGATGCAAAAGCCTCTAAATGCCATTTGAACTTTCCTTCTAAAATTACAATTTTTATCAAGCTTGTATATTTAAGTTCAGTGATTTCACTCAAATGGCAATGGTAATTACCTATTAATTGTTATTTAAGTGAAATTACTGAACTTAATATACAAGTTTGATAAAAAATCATCATTAAAGAAGAACATTTAAAATGGCATTTAGAGGCTTTTGCATCTGAACTCTTCATTTGTTTTTACAAAAAAAGGTGTTTTACACCATTAAAATGTGTTGCACTTTCTTTTTCTTTTTTTTAATTTTCTGAAAATACTTAATTTTCTGAAATTAATGTCACAAAAGCAAATCTTAAATGGGTCTAAACCCGGATTTTTTCTTTTAATTTGGGGTGAAATGTGATCTTTAAAATGAACTAATATACTATATAAAATATATATATTAATACTATAATATTAATAATAATAAAAATAATAACATTTAAATATAATATAAAATAAAATTATTACTACTACTACTATTAGTAGGCTAGTATTAATAATAATTATAACAATATTATTATTTTTTAACATTTTTTTTACATTCAATTAATCAAGGACGGATATAGATATTGTTTGATATTGAAATATGACTCATACCCAATTTTGTCAAGCTTCCTGCGAGTCGTCCGATAAGAAGATCCTGGGAAAACATTAGTTTGATGATGTGTGTTACCATATATATCTTTTTAGATATAAATATTGCCCAATAGAGAACCAAAAAAGTGAAATGAATCAGCAAATCGACTGATTTCACAAGGTTTTTTAGTTTCGGGATTTCCAGTTGAAAGATGACATCATAAAAACTGAAGTCATCTCCTGAGAGACCAAAGGCCCGAGCACCAAAATTAATAATAACTATAACCATAACTATATTAGCACACAATATCATTGTGAAATCGTCCACCCATCTCACTGTAAACAGTGTTTGCCAGCTTTTCTTCTTTCAGAGAATCAGACATCACACATCCCGGGAGGTCAGAGGTCACAGGGACACGCCGCCCCCTCTTTGCTGCAGCAGCAGGAAGTGACATGGGCGTTTGAGCGTCTCTAGGGGGCTATTTATAAACCCGCTGACCTTTTCTGTCCGCATGCAGCGAGTGATTGACATGACACACGTTATTGTGAGCTGCAGGATTACAGGTGACAGGTTACTGATCACCTAAACTGACACACAAATTACAGTTCTTCACAATGGACAGATCAAGTGCAGTGTGATTCAAACATGAGATAGATGTAGAAGAAGAGAAACAACAGAGAATTTATCCAGAATTATGGCAATATTTATTTACACATGCGTTGTTTTATTGCTTGCTCTTGTGAAAAAGAAGTGCACTTAAAGGGATAGTTCACTTTGAAATTAATTTTTGGTATGTTTTAGCTTACCTCAAGGGCATCTTTGTTTCCACAGTATTTTCAATTTTGATATTTTTAGGTCAGACCGTTCTTGTCTGTCAGTTTCTGTCAGGAAATAACAAGACAATAAGACAATAAGGAATAGGCATAATTATGAAAATATGTATATATATAAAGATGTACAGGTGAAAAATTTAGTTTTAAGGACCTGAAAATGCAAACTTTTCAAAATGAGTTTCAAAGTGCATGAAAAACGACACCATTATCATCTTTGTGAAACTACAAAAACGTGAATTTGTGAAAACGGTGACATTATACGCATGTGTATCACATTTTCAGTCTATTGGCCTGTAGTGTTTCTTTACAAAGTGACATCGCCATCTACTGGCCTGACATGGATATTGTAGCGTTTAGTCGTTTTCACCGATCCATTTGAAACGGGCATTGTTTTGACAATGTTGTGAAAAATGTCTGTACGTGAAAAATGCAAAGAAAAAACGTTTCGGTTTTTAGTACATCGCTGTCGTGTAAACGTACTCTAAACGTGACCAAAAAACATGGCAAAAAAAGGCAATTTGCCTATAACTTGACCTTGACTTCATCTCTGACCTCAGGTGACCTTCACTGGTGTATTGTCACCAAGGGGTTACAGTATTGCTGGAGTGTACTGTAAAGTAGTATATAGTCATGCAAAAACAAATATAAGGTGATGTCATTAAGATAAAAACATCTGAAAAACAGTATTAGTCACTTGTGACACGCAATGTCAGAGTGTTCTGTCTGTGCTGTGCAGACAGTCAGACCTGGTGTGTGTGTGTCACTGCTCTCAGTGCAGATTATGTCCTGTCTGGTTGTCTGATTTGATTGATAAAGCCAATTTTCATCCTCCATTAGATGGCCAGCCAAAATTCCTGAATTCAGCGTGCAGGCTTTGAAGAACGGCTCCCGCCCCTCCCCGACCACCCTCCACCCCGCCAGCGGCCGTTTCTGCCTTTCCTTCAGTCTCAACAGAGGTCACTGCAAGAATCCAAGTTTTTCAAGGAATTTTTCAGTGAAATCCAATCTGAAAGCAGAGGGAGGGTCTGCCACAGAGCACAGATGCTGGAATAAGGCAGGATTGAGGACACAAATGTAACATTTATAGTTAATATATCATAATGAATAGGACAAAGCACTATGGAAATGAAAATTATTTATGAATGCAAAACCAAATTTATTACTAAACATATTATAAGAATATGTGAGTGGAGTTTACCAATGTAGGTCCTTTCTTCAATGTGAACTTTTTTTATTAAATAAAAATAATAATATTAATAATAATATTGCTGCTGTTATTAAATAAAAAGATAATAATAGTAATATTTTTATATTTTTATTTAACAACAACAATATTAGAAATAATTTTAATTATAATTGCTATTATTAATGTTTAATTATAAATTATTGTTATGATTTATTTATTATTGTTGTTGTTATTAAACAAGATCATTATTATAATTATAATAATAATCATTATACATTTTTATTGCTGTTATATTTCTATTTAATAGTATAATAATAATAAAAATAATAATAATAGTAAATTATAATTATGATTGTTGGATTTATAAAATCATAAAGATAATAATACAATTATTAATAATAATATTGTTATATTTTAACAACAACACTCATAATAGTGATAATAATAATAGTGATATTATTAATAATAATAAATAAAATATTATAGTAATAATAAGTTATCATAGTCGCTAAATAAAATAAATATTTTTAATAAATTATAAGGTATAATAACTATTATTAAAAGGTATAACAACAACAGAAATAGTAATAATTATTATTAAATTAAAATACAATAATTAGTAAAATAATTATTTTTACTAAACTTTTATAATTATAAAAGTTTTAAAAATTAGTTGAATTTATTTTATTAGTTGTATTTGTGGTGGGAACAGAATTGCAAATATGAAACACACACACACACACACACATATATCTAAAGGATACAAGAACTGGTGTGGAATTTCAGGCTTGATCTTCTGATTGTCTGGGAGTTTTGGCTGAACAATGGCGAGCTCATGGCCTCCATGCTGTGAAGTTCGCCTTGCTTTCGTTCTCAACCCACTTCTTTTAAAACTGAAGGGTGGCAGGGGGAGCGGAGGGAGGGAGGGGGTCTGTCGAGAGAAACGGCATAAACGGACGGGTGGGAGTGAGTGGCATCTGTTTGTGCATTGTATGTGTTTTCCCGAGTCAACAGCGGAGGAAATGAACGCAGCAGCTAAATATACAAACATCACAATGAGCTAGCGAATAGCAGCTGCACGCGGGAAGACTAATGCAATGAGTATAATAGCAGATGAAGACAGCCAGCGGATATGAGGATCTGGTAATGAGTGCGAAGAGATAGATAGACGGATGGATAGTTTGATGATGTTGAACTGGAGGTCAAGGAGAGAGTGGAGAGCCAGGTAAATGGAACGCTACGCCATCGGTTGCTAACAGTGACACTGTGTTTAGGAGTTTGTATGTGATCATCATAGCAGCAGGTCATAAGGGAATCACCGTTCCAGGCTGGAGGAGAAAACAGGAAGCTGTGCTGATGTTTTTTTTCCTCTAACTAGTGTTAATGTGGACCTGAGGTTCTGGACTCAACCCAGTGGTCATAGAAAGCCACAAAAAGCCTCACTGTATTCCTCATGCTGACCTGGACAGAATCATACCTTTGCAGCTGTCTGCAAAAAAACATCCATAAGTAGTAATTTACTCAATTGCTTTCTCTCCTCATATTTGCCAATCTGCCCTTTTAGTTATTTATTGCTCTACCAAAGTGTTATATTTTGCAGTAGAAAATCCCAAATCAGATGCACAACATATAATGAACAATAAACACAGTATTTAATAATCATGGAAGGGCCATAAAAAAACACGACGAACATAACTTCAATACGAGACAAAGACGAGAGGAGAACAGGGTTTAAATACATGGGCTGATGATGATTAACAGACATGAGAACAGGTGGGGATTATTCA